CATCTGTAAATGCCCACCAACCTCTGCTGTTTGTGTCTCATGTCTCACACCTGTTATCTTTTTATCTTTCTTCCCTTTTCCTCACTTCTGTCCACCTCTCCTTCATCACTTCTTCATTCTCTACAAAGAAAGAAATGGTGTGATATTTCTTCTCCTTCCCAAGCCACCACTAGAAAGCATTGGCCACTTCAAGGTAAAGGGCAAAAGCTTGAAACGGAAGGTCTTTCACGCTAGCTGTGAATGGTATGCTGTGCAGAGCACCAACGGTGACTTTTTATGCTCTACCCCACCATTTGGAATGCTTTGAGTCCTTGTAAAACTAGAACAAGATAGAATTTCTGGATATTGGTTTATGCAGGGGAAAAGTAAGATTTCTGGTTTCTGTCTCTTTTTTTCCTTCTTCAAAAGGCACAATTTCCTGCTGTCACTATCATGCCTTTGTATATTGTTTGAAGATACTGGGGCTGGATCTTAAAGAGAAACATTCCCATTTGGAAAGCAAAGTGAGGCTTTTGCCAGTTTCTGCAAGTGCTTGGCCAAGCAGACACAATAGTATTTGAGTTATTAGATCAGGCTTATGGCAGTGTGCGTTTAAAGCAGTGTTAGACTTCTGACCCAGCCATCATAGTTTGCACTAACCTGTTTAGGAAATCTAGCAAAAGGAAAGCTAGAAATGTGTCCTGAGATTTATCTGCTTTCAGGAAGAACCCAGACATGAGAGAGCAGGCGAGAGAGTAACTATGAGATTAGTAAAAATGTTGTCTTAGTGTGGTTCTCTGTATTAGTGTGTGTACAGGTTTTTTATAAAGTTAAAGTAATACAAAATATGCAGATCCTTTTACAATGGATTTTGTATCCAAAAATAAAAATAATTGGTTCCAGAAGAATTTTGAAAGCTTGTGTATCATATGGGATCCAAAGAAATCATAAATGGAAAACCTCAAATGTACAGTACTGGCAATTTTTCAGAAAGGAGCCTTGCTGCTTCAGCTCCTCATGCTACTGATAATGTTAAAAATTAGGGGGACCATTTGAAGCTAGAGTTGATGTAGTGCTTGGGCTAGTAGCTGGGAAAGGAAATTAGTAACTTCTGTGCAAATAGAAGTGTCAAGTCTGACACCGTTACCTCTTTCCTAGCACCCGAAAATCTGCTATATGTGTGGTTATTTGAATTTGACCTGTGTGAAATTTTAAAGATTATGCCGAATGGTTTTATCATGGCTATGTCTCTAGAAAAAATAGTTTAAGTATTCTATAAACCCCAGTAGCACACCATATTGTAAAAATTTGGCCCACTGATTTCAGTAGTATTTCTTTGCTGCCTTGGCTTCAAATATAAAAGTGAGGGAGAAAAGAAAGAATAAAAATCACTGAACTAAAAATGAAAAGCTACATCATGTATAATTGTTAATATAGTTTTACTCACTTAGAACTGAGTAATTTACCTGATAGCTGTATCACAAGTTTAAACTATTGAAATGCAAATATCAGGAAAATATTTTCCTGAAACTATTTTTTCCTATAGTAAGATTCAGTTAGTCCTTCCATGGAACATCAATGTTTGCATTTACTGTAGGGAAATGGAAGGATATCTCTGGTTCCCAAAATGTGCCTCAATGAGTCTGAATGTAGGAGTGGAACTGGCCATGTACATTTGAAAAGTAACTGGTATAAATCTCTATGACAATCAGTTAGCGCCATCTCATTCTAGATTAAAACAAAGGGAGTGGTGCCTTTATAAATTTATGTTCTAACCTACAGCCTGTTTGAGCAAGCAGAATGAAGGAAGAACTGCCTTTCCTTTCTGGCAGCTAGCCACTAGTATCTAACTCAAAAGATTGATCAAGCTTTGGAATAAAAGTTGATATGTTTTGCGTCTTTAATTTAAGTTTGATCACTGCAACAGCTCTGGCAACTTAACTCCCGTGCTGTTGCTGTTCCTCCCCTTTTTGCCCTGAACATGGAAAAATGATTTTGTTTTAGAAAACAATCAGAAGTCCTAAAAAATTCATCTTGTTCCTTTTTACAAAGATAAAGAATCCAACTAGCACAATCTGTTCATGCTTCTGCCCTGTTGTATCCTATAGAAATCTGTGCATTGAGAATGTAAAGCAAAAAATCATGCCCACATGGATCCCTTTTAGTATTTCCCCACATCTTGCTTTGGTGTTATGAAGTAGTACCTGTGGAGATTAGAATTAGACTGCCCATCAGACACACATACTTTCTGTTTGCCCACATAGGGTGGAAGGGCTTTGTTGATGATTCTGACAGCTGAGCTAGTTTTGTTTCCACTACACCAGACAAGATGCTGATTATTCCAGTGTTTGATCCTTCTTTTTTCTACAGGCTCCTACCCAGAGACTCAGGCGTCCGAAGTTCCAGCAACAGCGCAGATGGACGGGCCCGATCTAGCCTCCCCCATTTCTCCCCGGACTAGCAAGAGCCGCATGTCTGTGAAATTGCGGCGGTCCTCAGGCTCAGCTAACAAGACCTGAGAAGGTGCAAAGTCCCTTTCCACCCAGATCTCAGCCTTTTTGTGCTGCATATTGGGCCTACATCCTTCCACCCTTGTGTTAATTTTAGATAACAATATTGGACTTTTATTTCAAATAAAAAATATTTTAGATTTTGTTAGAATATTTTTACCCATGTTCACTTTTTTTTACCTTTAATCTTGTAAGAAGTTCAGCAGTAAAGTAACCACTCTGTTTTAATCTCTAGGGTTCATTGCTAGCCCTGGAGCTGGAGACTGCAGGCATGTTCCACTCTATTTATTGTGCAGCCCTATCTGTAATAAAAATGTATGATTTGATAATGAATATAATACTTGCATTTCTGAAGTCCTCTGCAAAGTGCACTAGAATTCACAGATTTACATACAGGATTCATTGCTGGACCCAGATGCAACTGAAATACTAGTGTTGAAGTCATGACAGCTTTCTGCTTTCTTGCTAGTATTTTCTTTCCACTTGTGACCATATGGAACATGTAGCCAAAGTAGACTTTCTTCTTCTAAAATTTACTATCCCTTGATCTAACTGTATAATACATATGGATAGATAAGATATATATACAGTATCTGTCTCTATATAGAGAGAGACAGATAGATATGTCTTATCTATCTATCTATATATATATATTATACAGTATATATTTATATGCACATGTATACATATTTTCAAGCACTTTGTTAAGTCAGTCATTTTTTCCGAGCAATGTCTGTTACTGGGTGGGAAGGAACTGTGCTCCTGTACTGGCAAATGTATACACAAACACATTCCACTCCAGATTCCTGCTATGTCCCCAGAGGTATTTTCATACCGAAGAAGAAATGCAACTGTTGTTTGCCATATTCTGCTCTAACAAAATGTAGCATGGCACCGGTACTAACTGCATGTGTAAATATCTGTCCCTCATCGGGCAACTATAGAAATATATTGATGTATTTGTTCGCCGTGTAGTATATACAAATTTGTAATGGTTGAAAGAAAAATACATGCTATTTAATAATAGAATAAAATTATTCTTACCACCTTCTGTGTGCTCTGTGTTCCACTACAAAGAGTGATTGATTTACGCAAAACTGCTCAATGTTGCTAGCTTGAGGAAGAGAGTAGAAAACAGCCATGGAATAAACATACTCTAATTGTGAGATTGCTAAGCCTACACCTTCTTGAGGTACACAAGTGTGGTCTGTACAGTTTGTTGTAGTTGATTTACTACCTTAGTTCCTCTTAGTCGTTCCAAATGTGGCTTTTTTTAAAAACCTGGTTTTAATTAGTTTGATTAAGCAGGTTAGTAAAACTGCACAAAGTAAAGCTTTTAACGTGATATAGGTTTACGATCACATTCTTAGCATCTTCAAAAGACATTTGATGGAACTCTCTGTCTTGCCTGAAGTACAACAACCTATATTTAAAATAGCAATTTGTTATGGAAGGAATTGACAGTTACTTTAATGTAAAATTGTGACTTAAGAGTTTTTGATATTGATTCTTAAATTAAGCTAAAACCATTTTCCATCTTTGTTCGTACAAATTATTTGTAGAAGTCATTGCTGAGGTGATCTGCTGGCCTCCCCACCCGTGACAAGATGAAAATATAAAGAAAATCACCTTGATAGATAAATATAGCTTGGAGTGAAAAAGAAGTAGCTGTTGTCCACCTGACTTCATTCAACAGCAGTTGCAGGCAGTTCTTGACTAGCCTAATGGAAAACTACAATAATTTACAAAGGTGTATGCTAAAGTGGTTATTTAAAAAATCATCCAAAATCTAGAAGCAGGGTCACAAACCAGGGTTCCTACAAAATGCGTTAGTAAAGAAATTGGAGAGAGAATGTAGTCATAGCCCCTGACTTTCTAAAAGTAACTATTTTAATGATAACCTGAAGTGAAGATATGAATGAGATATTACACAGAAATACAGATGTTCTTTGAACAACTGCTCTCTGTGCTCATTGAAAACTATTACTAAAACAATCTTTGGCTTCAAAAGTAATTTGCTACTGAGGGTGGCATGGCTGGACAAGGGCATGGCTGAAATTCTCTTGGGCTTGCTGATCTATTTTTGCTGTTTTTGCCTGAATACAGAATTTGAAAGCCTTCCTACCGCTCTGTGTCTTTGCTTTCTTTCTCTCTTTGTGAGTTTGTAAGCTCAAGTTTTCCATGAAGTACTAGGCAAATAGTTGCAATAACTACAGGGAAAAAAAATAACCAATTCAGATTTTAATAGTAATGAGCAAGAGCAAACAAGGAGCATTTTGCACAGGGTCATGTAGGACAGGACACTGACTTGCTGCTAACATCCAACTATTGTAATACAGGCACAATGAACAAAACACTTTATGGCAAATTAAATATTTTAGAAATCTCAGAACCAGGGGAGCCACATTCAGCTAATTTTACATATAAAGCATGGCTAGCACCCCTTCTGGAGAATTAATACAGTTGTCAAGCAACCATAATGTATTTTCATCGTAGGGATAGGGATAACTAGAATGAAAGAAGTCATCCAGGGCCCCAAGTCACCCCAGAAAACCTACTCACAAGTAGGCAGAGGCTATAATATTACAGCACACACGGAGTATTTTTCTTTCTCAAGGCAGGGGCTTTTTTTTCAATCTAAGGTGGTAAGTGTGTTCTTTGCCCAACAGGTTAGCTTGATTTCCCTTTACTTTTCTAAAACTACAAGATTTACAGTACGTGTGAAAACTTTCATGAAATATGCAATACATTCTAACCCCTTTGTAAGGCAATGAGGATAATTCGTGCTCTTAAGTTAAAAAGCGTTTGGCACGATGCATTTCGAAAGTGGTGAATGTGATTCCCTTTGGCTAAGCCCTGCGATTTCCCTTAAAAAGTACTATTTCGGACAGGTCACTGGATACTGACGGGCCAGGAGTAGTAGGAGGCGGAGCAATGCAACGGCACAAGCAACTCAGATGTAGGGGGACCTTGGGCAGTCCCGAGCAAGCGGTGAGGAATGGGCCAGCCAATCTTTGGAGCCCGCTTTTCATAGTTCAGTCCTGCCGGGGGAAAGAGCCATTCGCCCAGGGAGCTTAGCAGCCTGGCCTGAGTGGCATCTGCAACAGAAGGATCTGCCTGTTATCCGAGGGGTGACACTTGTTGATGTGCCGAGTGAGGCCGGGCGAGCTGAAGAAGGTCGAGGGGCAATGCTTGCAGGAAAAGATCTGCTGCTCCCCGTGGGCGGCGCTGCCTTCGGGCGGCCCCAGGGGCAGGAGCAGCTCTTCCCGCACGGCATGCCATAGCCGGTGCTTGTCCCTGATGTCCGCCGAGGGAAAATGCGCCCCGCACAAGTGGCAGGGAAAAGTGATCTGCTGTGAAGGCGGCTGAGGCGGCGGCGGTGGCGAGGGGCTGCCGCGGTAAGCGGCGCTGGTGTGGCCGCCCCCCGGCCCCTGGTGGGTGCCCAGGTGCTTGCGCAGGTACGCCTGGCGCCGGAAC